GATGCGGTTGTGGACCTTTCCGCTCAAAGTCCGCGCAAGTCCCTACTTGGTACTCGGGGAACCCGGGCGGGGGGGGGGGGCCCATGGATGGACTGGGTGGGAGAAGAGATGGACGATTTGAACGCCTCCTCTGTACCTATTTCTCTCTCACTCTATCCGTATGTTTTTTTTTTCTGCAACTGGCACATCTGCACACGCCCTTCGCACCCCCATCCACCAAGATGCTCACCCCTCCCCTTCTTCTTCTTCTTCCCCCCAACCCCGATACAACCGCCGCGCACCCCTCCCCTCGTCTGCCCCTCGTCTCTGCCCCAATACCCTTACAGACGAACGTGATGCATGTCTATCTGTGTGAGAGAGAGCCAGTGGTGAGTGTGGTGTAGCTAAGAAAACAGGCCGCGAGTAGGTGCCAGTCTAGACGAAGTACCTTCAAGACCCATCGTCTTGCCTTCTTGCACCACAATCTTAGACAAGTCCAGTCGACAAGTCCGTACATCCATAATCCATTACCACACATTAGACACATCCATCCATACTCCGTACATCTCCAGTACTTTTTTTGCCTTGTTTGGATGGAGCCACCATTACCGTCTCCATGCATGGGCGCATCTCTAAACTAAACAACCCATGCATGCCTGCCAACCCTCCACCACATCTGGCTACGTATATATCCTTGTCCCTCGCCCCAGGACGACCTACTCTCCTCGAACGACCTCATCACCACTTCTTCTCCCCCGGGTCATTGTTGTTTTTTAAAAGACCAATTGGTCCGCGCAATGGTTTGAGTTCCCATTGCCATCTTTCATCTCTGTATAATACTTTGTTTGACCCCTTCTCGAAATCCCCCCCCCCCCCCCCACTGCCTCCAGCATCCCATACACGCGGCTTGGGTGTTGGTTCTTCCGTCTTGCCCGTGTCATTCTTTGATACCACCTTGAACGACGGACATAGACAAAGCGCTTTGCTAGTCCGATCTACTACCTCGATCGTTAGGGTCCTTCTAGACAGAACGGAAGAAGAGACTTGAAGATAGAGCGAGAGCAGGACTTGGCTTCGGAAGCTGCACGACGACACATAGATCGAGCAAAATCTCATCATCCGGGACTCTCTCGACAGTCATCACCACACGCTACTCTAAAACCGCGAGCGTGATACCTCGTAGGAAGCAGAGCAGATTGGAGATATCATCTAGATTTCTCGTATTCACATCACCTTGGGTACCAGTTTGAAACTGTTTGGAAGTTCTCAGGTTGCCTCACCTCAGCAAAACACCTCTCACACACACCACACTTCGGTCAGAAAACAAAAAGTGGACCATTTCATCTGAATACGCAACAAATATATTCACCAAAGGGCAAATCAAAGAAGAAGTCACGGGACTTGTTCAAATTCACCAAGACGATATTCTGAGAAGGAAGGCACGCTCAAGGCCTGGACCTCCTGCCACCTTCTGACCCTTCGAGAATTTCTCTGGACCAGAAGGCTGAAAACCCAACTCCTTCTTCCACTCCCTTCTTCTTCTCATCCTCCTCACCCTCCACAACAACCAACAACCACGCGCGCAATCCCTCCCATTGCGGCTTTGTTGAATTCCCCTTCCCATCTCCATCAAAAACCTACTCACGACCTTTTCTGAATTATTTCAGAAATACGCACGCGCACTCTTCAACCGCAGGAAGCAGTTCACGATGGCAGACATCATGAATCTCTTCTTGCCCAACCTTGGCTTCGGCTGGTCTCCTACCGCCTGGATGTACCTGTTCATCGCCCTTTGGTAAGTCACTATTTCCTGCAGAGAAAAATCCATGCCCATTCCATTGCTGCTGCTATCGCAGCAAAGACGTGCCTTGTCATTGAATTTTTGCCATCTTGTGTATCTAACCTTCCTTGGCAGGCTTCATCGATACACCCGCCTCCTCGTCAACTGCGTCAGCCACTGGGTCTACAAATCCAAGCCGATTCCCGCCAACCCTACTTTCACGGCTGACGACGTTACCGTCATCATCCCCACCATTCACAATGTCTTTGAGGAGCTTCGTCCTTCTCTGCTCAGCATTATCGCCTGCAACCCTCGCGTTCTGATGCTCGTGACTACCAGCGAGAAGCATGCCTCTCTTGAGAAGCTTGCTCGCAGCCTTCCTCACCCTAACGTTCAGGTCTACTCTACTCCAATTGCCAACAAGCGTCTTCAAGTTTGCGAGGCTCTACCCAAGGTTACGACCAAGCTCACCATCATGGCCGACGACGATGTCACCTGGCCTTCTACCATGATGCCCTGGATCCTCGCTCCCTTCGAAGACCCCAAGATTGGTGGCGTCGGCACCTGCCAGAGAGTTAAGCGCGTCTGGGATGGCCCGCTGTCCACTCGCATCTTCAACTGGCTCGGTGCTGCTTACATTGAGAGACGCAACTTCGAGATCTCGGCCACGCACAACCTCGATGGCGGTACATCCTGCATGTCTGGCCGAACTGGTGCCTACCGATCTGAGATTCTGTCCAGCCACGACTTCCTTGAGGGCTTCAAGACCGAGAAGTGGGGCAAGTACATCCTCAACGCCGACGACGACAACTTTGTCACTCGCTGGCTCGTCAGCCATCAGTGGAAGACATGGATCCAGTACGAGAAGGAGTGCGAGCTTGAGACCACTCTGGAGAACAGCACCAAGTTCCTCTACCAGTGCTCTCGCTGGGCTCGCAGCAACTGGCGCAGCAACTGGACCAGTCTTGTCCGTGAGAGATACGTTCTCACGTAAGTTGAAACACGCCCATCTGGGATTCCTCCTTTTGCCTGGCATGGTATGCTAACCCATGGTGACTACAGTCAGCAGCCCTGGTGCACCTATGCTCTCCACATTGCGACCTTCACTTCCTTGGCATTCCTCTTCGACCCCCTCATCATCTTCGCTTTGTGGAAGGGTACCGCCGACTGGGATGTTGAGAGCCGCCGCCAGGCCCTCTGGGCTCAGATCATCTTCGTGTTCGGCTTCACCAAGGTCGTCAAGCTCGTGAACCTCTTCCGTCGCAACCCTAGCGACATCCTCTTCCTCCCTGTCTCTATCCTGTTCGGATGGGCCCATGGAATCATCAAGCTCTACGCCTTGTCTACCCTCAAGATGGTAAGTGGCTACTTTTAGCGCATTGTGTGATATCAATCTCGCTAACACCTTGACAACAGACCTCCTGGGGCAGCAGAGCCGATGGTGATACCAACGACGACATCCGTCTGACTCCTCGTCCCAAGCGAGCCATGAGTCTTACTACGCCTCCTGGTGGCCAGGATCTCGTCCGCTACCGCTTCGAGCGCCAGATGACCGAAAAGGTCTCGGACTGGCACCGCCCGGCTAACGAGGCGCGCCGACCCCAGACTGTGCGCATGAACACCTTCCCCGCGAAGGATATCAAGGCGCCTCACGTCACCTTCTCCCTCCTGGAGCACCCCACGGACTAGATCCATGGCAACCACGAATATCACGAATTATGAATTTGCAACACATTGGTTTGCCAGAGGAGAAACGGGACTCTGGCTTGGGTGGCTTTCTTATGTCTTCTTTCCTGAAAGGCGGAAACGAAGAGGGTTAATCAATCACCCTTTCCTCATTTTCTTTGCGCCTCTTTTCCGGAAAACAAAAATCACCGACCCAAAAGGACTTTGGAACGGGAAAAGTTTTGTTGTTCTTTCCTCTTTACGATGAATACACGAACGATCGCATACGGGAAATGGAACCACAGCACAGAAGTGCGTGTCATGAATATAATCATCAACGGCATGGAAACCATTCAGCATGGAGAGCAGGAATAGGTGGTTTGGTCATCTGCTTCAGGGATAAAGTTTTTCCTCCCTGGATTTTCTCGACTCTTGGTCTCTTTTTCTTTCATTTTCCTCATCAAAAACACCCCAAAAATGGCGAGGGCAAAGGGTTGGTCTTTGTGATTTCTTTTTTTTTCCGTCTCCTCAATTTCAGAAACGAAAGGGAGGCAGTTGGGAACGGTACATCGCGCGGCGGGCAACAGGGCAGGCAGCTTTGATCTTCGTCGGAGGCATTTTATTCGATGCATTGCGAGACATGGGAAATCAGGAAGACGCACAGAGAGAGAGAGAGAGAGAGGGCGGCAAGGCATTAGACATTTGGTCTCTACCATCACTCCATCTTCTTTCCACCCAGACCAAGAGACAGCTTTCCATAGACTGAAGAAAAGAAAGCAAACTTCCACAGTAAACCAAAAAGATGAGGCTCATGAGTTCCACTCCACTATCTATCAGTAGTTCGTGATGCGACGCGTGATGTCGGACAGCTGCATATCTTTCTTCAACGCAAGTTGGAAAAAGAAAGGGCTACCGAGCCAATGGGAATACGACGTCCCTGCATCCTGACGAACTGGGGGATCGACTAGTTGGATCGGGGGGGCTCCCCAGGAAGAAGAAACGAGCAGCAAGCACAGCATGTGCCAGGGGGGGAGGGAAGGGAAGGTTGGTGGCATTCGTTACACGGCAGGGTGATTTGACGCGCAGTCTCGTATCCCGCCATGGTGTTGGCCCCCAATAAACGGTTTCCGGGAAACCCGCGATATCTGACATGCGATACTGTATGTGTGTGCGCGTGTGTGTGGCTTCTCATCAGGACGGACCCCACGATATGGCCCCCGGTTACACGGCAGGGCCAAGGTATGCGAAAGCCTACCTTGTTCACTAATTCTCCGGGTGAGGAGGCCTGGACTGGCCTCAAGAAACTCTTCTGTTCCTCCCAGAAATCGAAGTTCAATGTTAGTGAGAGGCTGTGCCATGTTCATGCGCCTCGTTACCACGGTAGAGTGGTGTGTGATATTGTCTTACATGACGTCCCTGGTGAGGCTGGTGGGTGTGGAGACTTTGGAGGGGGGTCAAAAGCCCATACAAGCACGCGGCTCTGGTTTGGCCGTCGTTTGCCGCAATGCTCGCCCGAAGACGACGAGCTGAGGAATGAACACGGTTCCGGGTCGATTGTTGTGACTGTTTATGGCAGTGGTGGTGTTCTCCTGCTCATCTCAAATCTTGAACATTGTCCATGTGCTCTCCAGTGGCATTTGGCTGCTTCGTCAGATGCGCCTCTCTTGACTCACATCGGGCTGGCTGGGACGACTAGCCTCGTGAGACGAAGTACGTGCGACTAATTTTCGGTGGTTGTCGTGGTGGTTGCCTTCAGGATGAGATCTCACACCCACCACCATCAGTCGAACCCTACACCCCTCCATCCCTACTAGTTCAGTGAACGGTTCGAGACTTGGCTAGATTAGGATGGCTAGCAGGCCAAGCTAAGATAATCGAGCACCCCACACTCAACGGGGGCAACGAGGCAGGTGATGTTTTGAGAGCACGTAAAAACCCCGCAGGGCCAAAGTTTCCGGATCGAAGATGTCCGGACATTCGGAGGCAAGAGGTCGGACTGCCCATCCATCGATCACTGGCTGCCGGAAGGGGGGAAAAAAACAAGACCTGACTACTGCCAGCCACCACTTCAAGCAGAAGTTCGACCTTCGAGCTGTGGCAGATGGATGGATGTATGGATAGATGGGTGAGATCGAACGCTATGCCACCCAATCAGAGAGCCCAAGCTCGAACCGTAAGGTCATTTCGATGGGTTGGGGGTCTTTGTCTGCGTCCTTGTTTACGTTATCAAGTAGCCCACTTTGTTTTCTGATGCTTGACACGAGGCCTGCCAGGCTGCCCCTCCCCCTCCCTTACTCTCGGACCCCTGGCCTTGTCTTTGCTGCAGGTGGACGAAAAGAGGCTTGCTGATGACATAGGTAAGACAGCGTCCAAATCTCAAAGTGTTTCGTAGTGGATGGGATTAATGGGGAACGTTATTCTCGACTCCTCTTCTACGGGTCGCGAAGTAGTGTATGCTTGACATCCGTACGCCGGGACCGGGACGGGGGCGAGGAGACGCAGAGATGCACGACATGATACGCGTGTTTTGAGGCTTTTGAGCCTGCATCAGGTCGGAAGAGGGAGACTAGAGGGATGCTGTGGGGAGGACAAGGAAAGCACTCACCAAATTCATGTTCAGATCTGATTGTGTTCAATACTTAGAGTTACCACGCAAAGTCAATCTGCTACCGATGTCCAAAATCTTGTGGGTCGAGTTGGTGGGCTGAAGATGATTGCGCGAGGTACCCTGGATTCGGGCAGTGTCCACGATGCATCGCTGTAGTGGCTTTGTGAATCGTGCGAGTAGCAGTGAGAGCCGGCTTGCGAGAGTTGCGTTGCAAGACATGCATGATTCCTGACGATGAATTGGTTCTAGGCCTCGCGTGCGTTTGGAGAGGGGGTTGCGGTTGTCTGCAACATCTGCAACGCCTTGATTCATGCCGGAATTCGTCAGTGGTAAATCCGTCATCCGGAGTGAGTTGTGACAACATGCAATATAGGACCAATGGTAGCTCACAATTGGGTCTGCCGAATGACTTGTGCCTCGAAGGAAGAAAAATTCTTGGAAAAATATTTCAACACTGACGACTCTTGTTGGTCCATTGAGAATGCTTCTCCAATTCATGGTGCCACACTCTCCAGCGTGAGGTGATGGGGAGCGAGCCAATGCGACGGCATGAGTCAAGACGCATTGGGTATGACGGCGACTAAGAGTCCGTAGGAAAATCAGCAGGAATACGGCAAGTAAAGCACAAAGTCGTGCACGAATAGGTACGCAAAATCGGGTAGGCAAGAGAAGGCGATTTTGGTTGGATCTGTCAAATGTGTCAAAAGTGGCGGCCGTGGGTTGCCCATCGACGACGGAGCAAGACCGGGCGAACAGGCTCGCGTTGACCACGGACAAGCGCCGACAGCGCGAGCGAAAAAACAAAGGCCTAGATTCGATGGAGACGGGTTGTGGTTCTGGGAGCTGAGACCGAGGACGAGGACGATGATGATAAGACGGCCTTGCTAGCTTGGTGGCTCTACTTGATTAGTACAGGTCTTTTCATGGTACAGCGGCAGAAAGAGGAAATAGAGGTGCGATGATAAGCTGGCGGAGCATGCTCACTTAGTAGGTACTGTAGTACTGTCGCAAGCATGCATGGCATGACATGGCATGGAAGGGCGAGTACTGCATACACTACTCCGTAGAAGGCGACGACATTCGAGATTGGATGGAACCACACCTCAAGTGCGCACGGCCCTTGACCTGTCATGGCCTGCACTGGCGTTGTGTTATGATTGCCATTTGTCGTCGGTGTCGTCGTCGTCGTCGATGATGATGATGATGATGTGGTTGTGAGGGATGTTTATCGGCTTATCACGGCTGGATGTAAGTGGTCTCTGGGGATTGAGAAATGGCAAAGTGGGCGGGTGATTCAGAGTGGATTCCAACATGGGAGAATCCAAGATGCCCGAGACGATCGAGGCCCTCGGACTGTAGTGTGGCCAGAGCAGCAACAAGCTGGCGGGTGGCTCCTGCCAAAAGACAACCGGCGAACGGTACGGGCGTTGAGGTACTCCGTACCTTCCAAGTTGCTCAAAGTGTCCCTGCCTTATCCGTAAGGTACAGGTCGTCTGGTAGAATTCGGATACCTACCTTACCTTAGGTAAGTAGTACGTATCTGTACATGCACAAGAGTTATGGGCCTCCCATCCTCCGAGGGAAGGGGCATTGGACGGGACTTGCTGAATCTGGTTCCCGATGAAGAACAACCGCCAAGCTTTGGTAAGCGAACTGATAATTCTGTGCCTCAGGCCAGGGAGACAAGAAGCAGCCGCAAAGACCAGCAGCCGTCGAGATACCAAGAAATTCGTTTCTAACGTCAATTCATGACTACCTGTGTGGGTGATGACGACCTTGTACTCCATTTAAGAAAATGAGGAAGGCAAAGCAGGAAAAGGCGAAGGCGACCCTGGTGGGAGGGGAGGGGCAGGGACTGTGGAGGAGATGGACAACATTGAACAACCATGGCTTAGTCAAGCCCGGAGCAGGGAAATGGGAGGGAACTAAAGACACCAAAAAGATACTTGCGGGTTCCTCGACGCACAGGCGGCCGCGGTACCTTCACAGATCGGGCAAGTATCTTTTTTGTCCAAGTCTTGGCGCTCGTCTGTTCTGGCCCTCAACCAACGAACGCCAACGGACCCCAGCGACTAAGGTAAGGGCAGGGCCACAATGTATCTACGGATAGATTTCATCTCAAAGACAAAATAACCACAGACATTTTGGATTTTGGCCTCCCGTCCCCGTCCCGGTGTCTCGCACAGACAGAAACAGAAACCGAGAAAGAGCGGGAAAGAGAGCCCGGGTGGGGAGACGGACACGCAACCGCAACCGCAACCGCAATTGCAGCCGCAGCCGCAGCCGCTGTTGGTAGTGCAGTTGCAGTGGGAAGTTGCCCAGTTGCAGTTCCAAGATGGCAAAATCTGCAAAATGCAAATCGTCAAGGCCCTTCGGCCAAGTCGAAACGCGCAATCCCCTCTCCACCGGCAATCAC